TCGATGGGTTACTGCAACGGCCGAGATATCGGCGTGACAGACAGACAGCTTTTCGTCTTTATATAGTAGATATAGAGAGAGGGAACTATTGGGAAGACAACTTTTATTTTTCTCTCTGATATTCCTATTTATGTTATTTATAAATAAAACTTGCAGATATGCAACAAGATGTTTATAGTTGGTTGTCAGCCAGAAACGGATGTTCAAAGAGAAAGGGACAAGCTTACGTTAGAAACCACCGAAATGTTGTCAGGTGAGTACCAACAGCACAGCAACAAGGTCAAATATTTAGTTGGTTCCCCTTAATAAGTTCATAAATAAATCACCAACGAAAAACAGAAAAATCGAAACGTTCCTGTTTTTCCCCTAAGTTTCTTTTTGTATGGAGCATAGCTCATGATTAATCTGATTAACTTAATGTCCACATATTTCTACCAACATGCTAACATTTTGCAAAACAAAGTAAGCTACTGCCAAGCACGCACTTATGTAGAAGTAAAGGTTCCGACATATTTTCAGTGTATTTATACATCATAGCTACCTATACTGTTTAAGTAATACGTTGAGTTGATGAGTTGACTGCTGACAGTCCTTTTGCTTCATACTCAAAGGTGGTATAATACCAACTACGTAAGTACAGGGAGACTGGAAGCCGCTCATAAAAACACGATTTTATCGATTCTAAAGAGGAGTGATTGTGGCAATATTTAATAACAGAACTTTTTGTATAATAAGGTTATATCTTTCCAAAATTTCGAGGTTAAATGCATGCTAAAACATAACTAGATGCAAAGTGTGTGATAAATCTCTATATGAGCTGTTGGAACCATATTTTTATACCAGTAAAATATATCTGGTTCAACGCGTCAGTATTTGTTTAGCACATATCAATCTATAGAAGCCAAAAACTAACACTTCCTATAAACCGAAAATGATGTGTTTGGCTACACAATGTACGCCAAAAGATGTAATAAACTATTATAACAATAGTTAGTTTTTGTCTGTCCTGGAAATGAGAACGCACTTCATTTCAACAGATGTAAACAAAAAGGCGGATGTAAATATATTTAAGTAGACATTCTGTACAACATCATATATATATATATATATATATAAAGCATATCAAGTTTTTGCAAAGGTCTAACGCTAGGTCATAGTATAACATTATAAGTTTATTTACTGATAATATTAAATACGGCAAAGTTTAATCTTAACTAAA